CACTGTCTCACAGGCAGCAGGAGAGAAAGAGACAGACTAACAGATCAGCATTCCCTAGTTTCAGGCACAATTTGTAACACAGCAGAATTTATTCTCTTGGTTTCACTGACGTAAATCTGGAGCAGTTCCCACTGACTTGAGCTGATCTATACTCTGCTCTTCGTTACACTGGTCTGGGTTTGGTTAAATGGTGTTAGATTGGGTTAAATGGGAGCCGAACAGGATTATAGTAGGTTCAAAATACATCTCACCCTATTTCAAGAGCGGAAAGTGAAGAGGCACAGGCGTGCATAGGGGAGGAAAGCACAGGAGGACACACTCCTCCCCTAGGTTGTACCCCTTTACATTCAGGTAGCTGTGCTGGTAACTTTTTACCATTCTTTTACCTGGTAGTTGCACTCTGGGTCAAGGCAGTGGTAATGTTCTCGATACTGGTATGCACAGTGTATATGTCCACAGTGCTGACTGCCAGAGAACCTGCAATCATGAGAGGAGGACAGAAGAAAGAGAGAGAATGAAACAGTGCCCTGACAGTAGTGCCAGTAAGCAAGGCACAAATACAGTAAGTACCATTCCTGCTTTCACTCCACATGCCTATGGCATTACACCTCATCTCCTTTTTATCCCCCCTCCAAGGATGGTGACCCTCCTGCCTTCCTTTTCTTATTTGTCACTATTTAAAGGTGCTTCTTGAGCACAATCTTTCAGGTCTTGTGCATCCCTAATTTGTCTGTCTTTCCCTTTAAAATTCATCTCCGTTATCTAAGTTGCTCACCTGGGGAAGAGAAATAAAGATGGGTTCCTTGAATTAAAAATCATACAATTCTAAAAATCCCACGTTTGACTTTAGATACTGCAGCAGTGAGTTTCAGAAATCTCCCATGCCAGAAGGAGATAAATAAACATTGGTCAAATACGAATTATAAATTTTAGGTAATATGCCCATCTAGCAGGACCTCAGAAAAGCTCAGGCATTCTTTTGTTTGTACAAGTTATGTCTCAAGGCTTTTTTTTCATCACAGTATAGTGTCATACTACAGAGAAGACTGCAAACCAGTGGATCAGATGGTAAGCCACAGGGACAGAAGATGATCATGGCAAGATTATACAGGAACTTCCAGTAAGATGGACACGTCAGTGGAAAGACAGGCAAGATGGATCAAAAGGAACAGAACAAAGTGTTATAGGCGAATCATCTTGACCTGGTGTGTACATCTTCTCCCATGCATGACACCCCTGCTAATAATTATTTTCCATGTGGATACAGTATTTGCTCACAAAAAAACCAGTGCAATGCAAAAGAACAGGGGTTTCAGCCTGCATTTGAGTGCAACTAAAAGTAGGACACAAGAAGCAACAGCCAACAACATGCACCCAATCCATTTCTGCAGGCCGCCACTGAGCATCCCACACAGCAGATCTGCAAACTCCTAACATACAGGGTAGAAAAAACTCAGACAGGCCAAAAGGCCATATCTACATACAAAGTGACAGTGCATTGAATGTATTGACTGACCGACACATCAGTAACTGGAAAAAGGGGACAATCCAGTACCAGGCTAATCAGAACTCCCTGATGTGTATTCTAGAGGACCCTGGAAGGGCTTGAAAGGGAAAGGCAGTAGAGAGAAGGGGACTCAGAGGGGAAACATTCAAAGATAAAGTACCATCTGCTCAAAGGTTCCTCAAAGGTTCCTCACGTCACTTAGCGCTGAACACAGCAGGAGTGCATATGATAAAGGGCATGGGAAAGAAACAAGGAAGGGCAATGGGTAAAAAGGAAAAATGAGAGGAGTGAGGGTATCCTGGGGCAATCAAGGGATGGGGCAGGAGCAGGGAAGATTATGGACCATCATACAGCGAGGTAACACTAAGCTACAGATAGAAAAAGTCAGGATAAAAAGCAGTACTAAATAAGGCATTTCTGAAGCACAGTAAGGAAGAGGAGGTCAACTGTGGAGACAGCAGGGCCTCTAGGAGATGGAAAGGGGACTTAATTGACAGAAAAGATAGACATTGCTAAAAAATTAAATGACTTCTTTGCCTCAGCATTCACAAAGGGAGACAGGGACAGATGCCAGGAGCAGACATGCCTTTCCCTGGGGAAGGAGAAGAAATACTGCAGGAAATCAGGATCACGTCAGAACAGGTGATTGAGAAACTGGAACAAACCTCAGCAGCAAAGAAGAAACAAACCACAAGGCAAACAGCAAGGCTGGCTGCACAAACAAAGGTGTGGAACTGAAAGCAGAGGAAGCGATTCCTGCTCAACGCCTGGGCAACCGTGAGGCTAGCACAGGGCACAGGCAGCAGCCTGAGTCACCAGGGCATTAACCAGGTACAGGTGGCTCGGCGGCAGCTGATCGACCCAACTGGTCCTGCTAGTCCAGAGCTTTGTGTCAGCAGCACCACGAGCAGCTTTAAAGGAAAGAAACTGCTCTGTGGAAAGCTTCCTCCCTTGTTCCACTCATGAGATGGGGAAGAGAGAGCAAAGGGCTGTGCAGGGCTGGAGAACTGTGGAGCACAGGCTAGGCAGAGATGAGGATGATAAAGACCTTTCTGACAAATATACACCTTTGAAGCAAAGCAGACCAAAATGCTATCAAAAGTGAGGATGCAAAATGGCCAGAGATGCCAACTGCAGTGAAAGAAGGGCCAGACACTTGAAGCACCCTAGCAGTAGTAACCCACAGGCTCAGCTTTAAAAGCAACAGCTAAACAAGCACTCTAGCACTTCAGACTCCTACCCTCTCTTCCACGTGCCACGGAAAGGTGTTTCATGTGTGTGTGTGCATGTGGATGTGTGAGCACGTGTGTCTACACCGCAGGAAGGGAGAGGCAAGTGTTCTACCAAACCCCGTGCCTGGGGAAAGAGGGAAGCAGCAAGCACAGCATGAAGGGGAAATTCTGCTCTTTCAGTCTGTAAGGTTAGGCTCCTAAAGGGTTATATTTATCTTGTGTTTCTTCTGACACTTGAAACAGTTCAAAGCTATTAATTTTTAAAGCACAGCATCTGTTTAGCTTTTTCACAACAGGAAAGCTTACACACCACACACTTACTTACACGCATACACACGCGCACATTTACATGCACGTACTCTAAGGTACATCAACACCCCTCTGAATTTACATGAATGTACCCACAATTTCCATGCACACGAACAGACACAAACACACATACCTGAAACAAGCGAACTCACAGACCATTTAATTACACTGATATGCAAATCCAAACCTAAGTTGTCCATACAGGTACGCAGATTCATTTTCACAAGTACAACACCCTCCCCCTCCTCCTTCTCTTACTTTAATCCGTTCACTTTCTTTTTTCTTTTTTTTTTGCCAGAAAGAACTAGTCTTGATCTGGCAAGAGTTCGAAGGAAAAACCAAGCTAAATAAATAATAATAAAAATAATAAATAAAGAAGTCAGCATGCTTAGAGAGTGTTTACAGACTCATTACCCTGTAACGATGATGTGAAAGAAGGAAGAAAAAAAAACTCACCCCAATTACAAGGGGGGAGGAAACCCACACAGAAATAAATATTTAAGCAAGTGCTGCCAGAAGCACCATCTGCTGAGGCACTAATAATAATAATAATAATTTTTTCTGTAATAAATAAAGAAGTCAGCATGCTTAGAGAGTGTTTACAGACTCATTACCCTGTAACGATGATGTGAAAGAAGGAAGAAAAAAAAACTCACCCCAATTACAAGGGGGGAGGAAACCCACACAGAAATAAATATTTAAGCAAGTGCTGCCAGAAGCACCATCTGCTGAGGCACTAATAATAATAATAATAATTTTTTCTGTGGTCTTTTTTTTTTTTAATTATAAATATACGGGGAGGGGGGGGAAACAACCCAACCCAAACTAGCTAAGTAAGAGGTTTTGTTTTGTTGTGTGAGAGAATGGATTATCCCTGGGCAGCTTTTGGCAGTGGCTTTGGCAAACTCATTAAGCTAATTATGCAGCACAGACATAGTGTGTCGTGTCTCTCTCTCCCCCACCCCTTGATTTTAAGGCTTTAAACTGTTTTTAAAATTGTGTGTAAATTGAAGGGAAGTGGCTGTGCTGCCAACGGGCGGCTTGCGGAGCTTTTTAAGCAGGATGTGGTGTCCCTTAGCTATCTCACAAGCCTCCCTCGGTTACCTGCCTGACCCAGGGGAAGGGGCTTGCAGAGCGCTAAGCAGAGTGGATGTGGGCAAAGTGTTTATACAGTTCTCTGCTTGAGAGGGGAACTGGGGACAGAAAGGGTGGCATCTCCTCTCTCACTGCAACCTCTGCGATTCTTGCAATCTCAGCAATAAAAGGGTGCTGTTCCTTCTGCCCCATGCAAAAATGGGCTAAACCCCACAGAAATCACCTCTCCTTCCACTCTCCAGCCAGGGAGAGCACTGTACCCACCCTTTTACCCTGCCGATGTGCCAAGAGCTTCCCTTGCACCTTCCTAGCAGCTGACTGCCTCCCGCAGGGAGATGCTCTGTGGACTCAGGCACGGTGGGAAAGCACAGTGCACATTTCCCTCCCTTCAGTTTTATCTCTGGCAAGAAATATTTGCTTGCTTCCCTGACTGGTGTCTTTCTGTATATAAGGGGCTTTTGTAGTGAGCTTCCTCATAGTACAGATGGGCCAGGGGCAAAGGCTGATGGACCCTTTACATCATGAGCTATAAAACAGCCAGGTGTTAAGCAATAATCTCCTTTGTCCCTGTGGCTCTCATGGCATTACTCACTCTGTCTCACCACAACAGCCTTGGGCTCCCTCTCAGCATCACTCATTCCTGACCTAAGCTTGCCCAGAGCTGTGATAAGGTGCCCTAGTCTGCATCTCCTTCAGTGAGGGTTTCTTATATAAAAAAGCTGCAAAATATTCTAGGATAAACATCCCACATTGATGCCAAGACCTGCCTACACACAAGTCACTCGTGAACTCCTCCAGCCTAGATCCTCGGAGGTGAGATGTTCTCTGCTTGCCTCCTGCAGGCATCGGACATGGTAGGGGAAAAAGGCTGGAGACAGCACAGCAATGGACAGAAACAATGACAGTCAGGAGACAGTGCTCCCATTAAATCCTGGGCTTCTGCAGTGAAACATTTTTCCACTATTTGTCACAAAGTCTAACAGCTCTGGGGAGCTGAGCATGCTCTTGGCATGCCTGTACACCTCTCACAGCTACTGCTCTTCCAAGCAGGGAAACAGAGCAAGTACAGATGCCAGAGGGAAATGGAAGTGCCAATGACTGGTTTAAACACTTGATCCAGATGGACAAGACCTCATCTCTCCCACCACCATTCCACCCTCTTACTTCCAGCCCTCTCCCCAAGAAAATCAAGACTTTTGCCTACCTGGCAATATACTTCTGGTAAATATTTACGTCTTCGCTGACAGCTGGTTTGTCAGTGGGTAATCCGTTCCTAATGAGAAACACACAGGGCAGAGCTGGTTAGCAAGCAGGAACAGGGCACAGTCTAAGCTCCTTGTTTCTCTCACACATCACTGTCACATCAAGAGAGAGGGCTCAGAGAAGTGTACCTAGCAAAGATACCCATGGGTTTAATCTCCCTCCCGTTACCCTTCAAATCCTGTAACTTCTTTTCCTAGGGAACCATACAGTCCACCTACCACCTCTCCTGCACGTGCTCTCTTTGCAGGACTCAATTCAATTCGTTGGAGACACTGAGAAGACCAACCATGAAAACCTGTTTCCACAGGAAAAACTGAATACCCATATACAAACAAGTGATGGCCACATGAAAATAAACATCTCCCTGAAGCACCTTGCAACACTGCCCTTATGTGCACAGGAGGGCCATGGAGACACATCTGCCCTAGGCTCAACTGTGGGAGAAGAGCTCTTCAGCCACACCGTGAGCTACTGCCCATTTTCCATGGCCAGCAGTTACAGTGTAGTGCTACTCTGTCCTGGCAACATGGCTACAGCCTCCTACATGGGGTTTTAATTGCCTCTTTTTCACACAGATACTCCAACTCCAACACACAGATGGGGCAGCAAAAGTATTCAGGTATTTTAATCAACGAAAAAAGCAACCCAACTGTCACATAAGCTTGGGTTACTTAACATCATTAGGAAGCAGACAAAAGTTACATCCTCAATGACTTCAGCATGAGGAAAAAGAGATACAAGGCCAATACAACCCCAGACAGGCTACACACAGCCTTCCTTCTTGGTTTTGCCTCCATCCAACCTCCACTCCAACTTGTGACAGCTCTGTAGCCTGGTTTAAACAAGGACACTTTCCCACAGAGTTCACTTGAAGTAGGTAGATTAGTTCAGGGCAGGTTAATAGCATTAGATGTTAAGAGAGTTTAAACCCATGGTGAGGGTATGCATGTGTATGTGTGAGAGTAAGGAGTAGTTCCTGCCAGGTTCTTTGGTCCTAGTGGGGACTGGGAATGGAAAGCCAGGTCCCAGATACCACACTTAGCACTTCCTCCATCAGCACAATTAAGGGGCTGCTTTCTTTTATCATGGAAGCCTGTATCTAGCAGTCAGCCTGAAGGAGAAGAGACCAGAGCCCCGTCTGTACTTCAACGTGTGATCAGGACACTGGGAACTGCCAGGCTGAAGGCCCCTGCCACCTCCATTCCTGTTGCACCCCACCATGATGCCCCAGTTGAGGAAGCCCTGCCGCTAGAGGAGGGATCACCATGGTGCTGCAAACCCACATCTGCAAGTTGCAGGAAATGAGCAAGAGAAGGGAAATCAAACTGGGATCCCAGTGCAACACCAGAGCAGAGAAGAAGAGGCTCCCAGCTCCCCCAGCACAGCTCTAGGATGGCCACTGAACTCCAGGCAGCTGACCGTTCTGCAAACTCTTCAGGCACAGAGTCCCTGGCCAAGTCACCCATCACAACACGGCACTGTGCCTACCGGAGTATTTACAACACCGTGTTCTTCAGTAACAGGAGTCCCTGCCTGCCATCTGGAGCACGTACAGGGCTCACCCTGAGCAGGGGCCAGATGCAAATGTTACTAATCCTCTGCCCTTTCCCATACACCTTTAACCATAGAGCTCCCACACCAGTCTGTAGGTGGGAAACGGCTGTTTCACATGGAAGACAGGTATCATTAGCTCTGCCTCCCAGGTGGAGAAACACAGCAAGTAGGGGATGCAGACTTGTCTGAGACTGCAAAGAGCATTTGAGTGAGGATTCAACCCATGGCCTCCTGGGCCCACATATTAAACATAAACCAACCTTCCTCCTTACCAGAGGACAAAGTAGTAGGGTGCGTGTGATGGCATTTGCCACAGAAGTACAGGCCAGAGGTCCTAGACTTACTTCAAATGACCCCATGGGATTCCCAGCTCACAACAGCCCCAGGTCCACAGTGAGAAACAAGTAAACCCAAACCATGACAAGAAAGCAGAGAAGTCCCTCCCTTCCTCCCTGCTTGCAGAATTATGCACACATGTAGCTTGTCTACAGCTACCACTTCTGGAAGCCACTTTAAAAAGTAACCCAAGTTTTGGCAAGGCCTTCAGATATCTCCATTTGGTCAACGGCATCACTGCACAGATTGCCAGCAACGTATGTGTAGGAGGTTATTAGTGGTAATTGGGCTAATGAGTTTGCCCAGTCTGAGGGGTAATTGAATCACCTCTATTTGTGCAAGGAACAAGCAAATTGAGAAGACATAGGCCTGGCCCCACAGAAGTATGTATATGCCTAACTCCTAGGAAAATTGATGGGAATTAGGCACCAAAATGTCTTCTGAGTTCTGGGACAAACAAAAAGCCCATCTTGCTAACAGTAAAGACAGCAGAGTTTTGCCATTGAGTTAAATGGAAGCAGGAATCGGGTTGTCCTACAGACACAGCTGGATGTCTGGGGAACCGGAAGAAGGAGAAAGGAAAGTAACTACAACTTTGACCTAAGAGTGATGACAGCACCATGTCCCCTCATCATTCATTTTAACATAAAAACCCAGGATCCACTGGGCTCTAGATTCATGGCTGTGACTTCTCATGGCTGGCCACATCCTTAGTGCAAATAAGACAAACAGAAATGTAAAGTGCAACAGAGGAGCAGACACTCCAACGGAGAGCAAAAACAAATCACATAAACAGCGCAGTATTTATCATTACACAAACTGGAATTTCCCACTGATCCACATACATACTTTGGATATGACCCCCCCACTAATACAAAGTTAGGAAAGGTGGGAGAACACTTACTTTACTGTAGAGACTGTTCCAGTTGTGATGGAGTCTGTCTTGGAGAAAGTTGATTTCAGGTACTCAGGAGTGTTGAATGGCAATGAGACGGACTGCTCTGGCCCAGCCACAGGAGTGCCGCTGGGGGTACTGGTGAGGGGAGCAGGGGCCAGGCTGGGTGTTGGAGCTTTCACTGGAGTAAGCTTCTGAATGTTCCTCACATCATACTTGGAAGGCCGGCCTACCTTGCCTGTCTTGAAGGCGATGGCTCCTCCCATGTCTGGGCTTCCTTCTCCAGGCTTGAAAAGGTGCAAGTACTTGACATTTTCTAGGTCATACTTGGAGGCCTTCTTGTAAGTGTTGCCGTTTTGTGGCCTGATGCTTTCACCAGTCTTCAGCTTCTGAATGAAGAAGTCGTATTTGGAGGTCCGTGACATCAGGCCCTGCATCTGGGAACTGCTGGGAGAGGGCAGCGGCAAGATGGTGGCTTTGGTCTCCGTCAGCATGGAGGCATCTGGACCTGGCACCCGAATGGGCTGTGCCAGCACTGAGGAAGTTTCTTTGCCCAGCTTGGAGCCCAGCTCCTCAGATTTGGCCAAGTGCATGGGCCAAGAGAGCTGCTCTCCAGCTTTCAGTTTGCGGATGTACTCCTCGTATTTGGAGAAGCGGGCTCGTTTGCTCATGGCATCCTCGCCAGGGAGAGAGGCAGCAGTTGCAGTGGCCTCTGAGGTAGCAGCGTTCAGCTTGTCGAAGCTGATCTTGCGGGCCAGCTCATCCCGCATGTTCTGATCATCATAGCCGAACATGCCCAGGAACTCATTCATGGTGGTGGCGGCATAATCTCGCAGCGATGAAGCTTCCCCTACAGGGAACCAAAGTGAGAGAGTCACGCAAGGCGTTGATTTTTCTTCTCCTCCCATACCAGCACTAGTAGCGGGGAGGGGGAGTAAGGAGAGAGGGGAACATGATCTACTGACGTTTGGCTCACTTGTTAGGTTTTACGACTCTTAAATTAATTTGTTTTAAAAAAAAAAGTAATTAATACTGGGGTAAAATAAAAAGAGTTCATCAATGCCAGGAAAATCAATTTCCTAAATGTTCTAGCCGATGGCTTTTCAGTACATTAAACAAAGTTTCATAAATGTCTCTGCACTCTTGCCTTGGCCTAATATGAAGAAAAAGTAATTTTACTGGAAGTGAGATCAACGCCAATATGCCGAGGTTTGTACAGTTCTGTCCTTGTGTGTATTTGTATATGGAAGGAGGTGCACAGAGGACAGACGGCAGTGTGTCTGAGTGTGTAAGGGTGTACAAACATGTGAGATATGCTACTTGTGCTGGTGAACAGCAGGGCTGCAAGCGGGCAGGACAGCGTGGCGTGAAATAGATAAGGGAGACAGGGCAAGACCATGTATGGGGTGGACCAGGAGGAGGGCAGAATGGAAAAGTGCTTAGTAGAGAAGGAAAGCAGCAGAGGTGGAGGTGAATTAAGGTGGGGGAAGAGTGGCAAAGGCCATACGCATGAGAAGCTTGGCAGTGAGGAGGTGGGGGGAGTGGAGAAGGCAAGACACAGACGGGATGGTACCCCATAGCCGCTGCAGCCCTTCCCTGACAATTTCCTAAGAGTTCTTTTCACCCAACTTGCTCCCTTCTTTCTCAGTCCCAAAGCCTGAAGAGCTCCTACTCTCCTCATGAAAAGGGGCCACAGTTCAGGCAAGGCTGTGGAAACCTACAGGCAGCTTCCAGAGCACCCAGGAACAGCTTCCAGTAAGACCAGGAAAGGAAAAGCCCACATAGGTGCAAAATGGGAAAAGAACAGCCTTATCTCCATCAGGTTTTGCACTGAGGACAGAAAGAGCTGTTGTCCTGATGTGGGCTGCAGAGAGGGGGAGAAAGCCTGTTCTCTGGAGTGTGGGTTGGGGAAGGGGCAAGAAGGGCTTGATCTACCTGAGTGGGATCACTGGGAGGAAGAATAAGCCAAAGCTGTCCTTCCTCGGGTCTTGCCCTCCCTTCCTTCCTCCCCAGCTCCCCCAGGCAGCTTCGCAGGCCACCAGGAGGGGAAGAACACACATGTGGAGGTCACCCAATATCAGCGTAAAGGAGGAAATAAAGATTGCTCTGCTGTGCCAGCTTGGACTCATTTAGGCTCCAGTCTGACACAGAGCTCCTCCTCCTCTCCCTCTTGCTTTCTCCTGCAGAGTAAAGATTTACTGTGTGCAGGAGTCCTTCAAACCTCCCTCGTCATCTTTTCCAATCACTCACTTCAGCTCTCATGGGCAAGCACACTCCTTCACAAGGAGCCAGCACAGGCAGGTACACTGACAGCGCAATGGAGGTTCTGGGCACCGGGTCCAGCTCAAACCAAATCAGCACTGCCTTGAAACACAGCATTTCCATGCACACAAGACTCAGTCAATGAGCAAAGTCAAAGTTCAACAACCATCAGCTTCCACACATCAGCTTCCATGGGACTATACAGAGGAAAAGACTGCCTGCAATAGGCACCAAAATGTGCAAGACCAGAAGGGTCATATTTCTGTTTCAGTATTGCCTGGTATAGCTGTGTCCACACAGCAAAAGTATTGCTGCACTAGTTGCCTGGGTATGTGGTACTTGAGAAAGACAATGCAAAGAACACGCCTGAAACCTGAAAGCAGAAGGACAAAGACACATCTGCTAAGTGCTGGGAAATACTTTAGCCCAAAATGACTTTCCAGTTCTAGGCACTTAGGCCCAGAATCCTGTATGGGATTTTGGGATGACTGACTTTGGAATAAACACCTTGTTAGCTACAGAGTGGGTGGCAATGTCCCTGCAGTGCCTGGCTCAGGTTGTAGCTTTCTGTCCTCACACAACCTCGTGGGTCAGTATTAATCTTAAAGGATGTTAAATGCAGAATCATGCCCCGCAGTGTCCAATAACAAGACTTGTCAGAAGAAAACCACCAGGAAGGCTGTATTACTCCATCCTCAGCGGTAGGATCATTTAATCTGTGTTTTCCCACTTGACCCTTTCCTGTGGCCCCTCTAACACCGTACCAAAGCCATCAACGTTATCTTTCATACACAGACATATTAAATAATTCCATCTTGCTTTAAAGCACTTCTCCTTTTTACCTCTTTTTCTGCCTTCTCCACCTCCAATTCAGTGTAACCCTATGACCCAACAAAAGTGATTAAACCCAAGAAATCCCTACCGAGTCTAACACTTCCCTCTTTCTGTTAAATCTGCTTTCCCTGTTCTGCTTTTCCTCTCTTTCTGGACCTGTAAAACAATCCCCTTGCCTCCTTCACAGTGCCCTGACTTCCAAGCACTGCAGAGAAAAACTCCAGCCAGCCTGTGTCAAACTGCAAGTGGAGAAAGAATACCACAGAGAGGATCTGATGGGACATTAAATGATTAAGTGTGATTTTTACTAGCTTTAACAGCTGCCCTAAAAGCCAGCCAAGCCCTTTTCTTCTTTATCCTAACCGGCAGCACACACAAAAAAGAGGGGAGACCCTCTTTATCAATCCCATATCTCAAATCAGTTTTACAAATCTCAGCTCGATTCAGGCCCCACACGCATTAAAAAACCAGAGAGGAGATTCAAAGAAACCTAGTATTTTCTTTTAACACTGGAGAAAATGAAATGTTGTAGAAGACCAGCTTCTTTTTAAACTTCTCTCATCTGCACGCCTGGTCTTGGAAAGCCTCTTTGGTACCCATCTGGTCAGACCTCAATACACACAAACAATTAGATGCAAAACCCAAGACCACAGGAAAAATGGAGTTTTCAGACCCTTTTTTTTGAGCTTTGCAAAGTGTGAGCTTGAGTTCAGGTTTCACTATCCTGGATTTAATCCCCTCATCCCACAAAACACCTTGCATTGTGCTTTTCCTTTGCCAGATTTGGTTCCAGATGACTGCAATACCCTTCCTGACCAACAGCTTTGCCAGTGCTGCTCAGTCTTTCCTCATCCACATTTGAGATTAAACCCTGGCCAGTTCCCACTACTCACTGCCTAGCACCTTCACTCATCCCAGCATGGGCCCACCAACACAACTCCTAAAGCCAAGACAACCTGCACTTACTTGCACAGGCACCAGAAGAGGTGCCTTGCTCTTCAAGAGGGGGCACCTTATGGAAGGGAGCTGTCTCACCACAAAGATGGTACGAGACCCAGCCAACTCATTTCACATACACTTTCAAACAACAGCAAAGAGGTGGTTATTATTACCTGATCGACAGAAAACCCTCCTCATACCCACACACAGACAAAAGTGAAGCAGGACAGCAGTTGGGAAACAAATCCCTGGGAAGAGTGCGCAGCCCTGGAAGCCACGGGAAGCCTTGTCCCTGGGTCTTCTTTCCCCCCTCCCCTGCACCACATTTTTCTCTCCTTTTCTATGTGATAATAAAAGGGCTCCCTCTCCCCTTGCTGCTGCTCTCCATTTGTGGGCATCGCCAAAGAGCAGAGATCTGTGTGTCTCAGAGCAGCTATCGTATCACAAAGGATCCGAAGCTAGCAAAAAAGAGGCTAAAAATAGCCTGCAGCAGCACACTATATATGGAAGGAAAAGCAAAACAGCCCAAATGGAGAGTAAGGTCTGGATACTGGGGGATGGGACATCCCAGCCAGGGCTCTGTCCTTTATTCTGCTTGGGAGGGAAAGCATGTAGACTTGGGGGCTATAGGATAACGAGCAAGAAACTGGCACTCATCATGCATGTTCTCCCAAGTGTAGTCTCCCCAGGAAATTATGAAAATAAAACCCTCTTGTTCAAAACAGGGCCAATATTCCCTTTCTAAGAGACTTAGCCAAGAGGCTAAGAAAAGAAAGGGGAACTTTGAAAGCTTGTATAGGGGAAAGCTCCTGGTGACTGCTTTAGCCCACCATGTACCAGGCAGAGTACAGAAGAACATGGGACTGCGTAGGAAAACCTCCCTGGGTATGTGTGCGTCAGTGAGAGATTGTGGAAAGGGATCTCTGTCAGAATGTACTGGGAAATCTAAATGCTATATATAAAAGTGTGTAGAGAAGTATGGGTCAGTCAGTGTGGAGGAAAAGGTGTGTGAATGAATGAAGAAACATATCTACATGTCCAGATCAGCTTCTAACACCCATTTCGACAGACGCCAGCTTTGCGATCATTCAACGTGTTCCCCAGCCGAACCAGAGAGGGAGGCACATAAGGCAGGACTGAGCACCAACCACGTAGTCCCTTGTTTCCAAGAGGTGGCTCAGAAAAAGAAACAGGGATGCCACACATGCACGTTCCCCATCTTGTTTCAAAGTACGTGGATTGAATAGCATGGACCAAATCTCTGCAAAATCCTGCCTGATGTGCAACAAGCCTCACTGTCTGACGCTGGAGGAGACAGAGGTGGCAGGGATGTGGCATTAGATCACAGGAGGTGCTAGTGGAGGACACGAGCAGTAGCTGCAGTCCCATAAAGCAGGCTGTGTGTGTACACACCGTGACTCCAGGAAGCAGGGACCCTTCTCTGCCCCATATAATTAGGATCTCTTTCCCCACTGATCAAAAAAGCTTGGTTAGATGTAGGATCTGGTTTTCTGTGTGGCTTCTGCTTTTTACTCAAGTTTCCGGCTGATCAAAGTCAACTTTAAATGCTGCTGAGCACCACCGGCTCTGTATCCTTGTATGTCCTCAGAGGGAGCAGTGGGCGCTCAGAACTTTCAAAACCAGGTTCCTGTGATGACTTCCCCAAAGCCACATTATCCAGGAGGGCAGAGCTGTATTTCTCTCCTTTGATCTGACTGCCTCCTGCTACCCCCAACTCACAGGAAAAAAACCCTTCTTTTTGGTACAGGTGGTTTTAGATCTCACTGGAATAAACTGAACTTGCACCCAGTAACA